ATTTTCTTGGTAAAAGCGCTAGGACTATGATTGGATCTGTGCCAACCAAATTTAACTTCTCCTTAGGTACCACAAAGCCCTGTTGACATTGTTAGCTTCATTAGGGCTGCATATGGGTAAAAGGTTCTGCCTTGAGGAATCTGTTCACAAGATCAGGGCCTAACTGAGTACTACTTCAATCTGTGGAATTGAAGCACAGAGTGAAACTGAAAACCGGTGCCCTGGCGAGTCTGCCTGCAGTTCAGATTTCTGTTCTGATGGAATATCATAAAGCAATTCATTGTGTTGCAATTATCATTACAAGAAAATAGTAGTCACCCACATAACTCAGTACCCAAAATCTTACTAAAGAAGATTTAGAAAAAAAAAATCCAGACTTGTTAATAATACAGTTTTCAAATATTTTTGCTTAAGACAGCTTGAAAGTGGAAAGTGCAATATAAAAGTAAGATGGGATCTTGATGGGAGCATGTCACAGAACAGCTGCTGTTCCATAGCTCTTTCCTTTCATCAATCCCCCACAGATCTTCTCCAAGTCTGAGGAGACTGTGCCATGCAGCCACTGCTTCTTCCCTTCTGCAGTTTCTAGGCCTTTCACCAGTTCCTTTCCTTATCCTTACAACCATGTTAGATTGCAACCTTGTTTGGAAAAGTTTTCAAACACTATCAAATACAGAAACTAGTTCTAGATATCTCAAACCTAATGACCAGGTCACAAAGCTCCCTAATATAATTCTGTTAATCTCTTTCATTGCAATATGCTCAATTTTTAAAGAAGCACAAATTCATAATAAATAACCACCATTTTTCTTAATTTTATTACTTAATTAGTTTATTTTAAAAAAAAGGCTTCAAGTGTTACTCAGCTTTTCACAGGTTTACTTTTTTTGTTTTTCATATTCTTCAGCATAGACTGTAATTATTTTCATTCTTAGGTTCATACAAGTTTAGGAGGATTTATATTGATGTTAGACTCTATAAAAACTTCTGCCTGGGGTATCAAGAGTCTAAGTTACCAAAAACACGATGCAATTAAGAGCCTAATTCTGCAGATGCTTTCTACTAGATGCAATGCCTTTTGGAATACAGGCAGTCCCCGAGTTACGCGGATCCGACTTATGTCGGATCTGCAGTTACGAACGGGGCCTTTCTCGCCCGGAGGACTGGAGCGGCGGGACGTCCAGATGCACTGCAGTCCCGCCGCCCCCGTCCTCCAGGGTGAGAAAAGCTGCTCCACGTCTCCCTGGTCTGCTAACCGGGGAGACGCGGAGCAAAGCCGCGGAGCACGCCCGCAGTGAGACAGCCCGGGTGCGCCTGGGCAGTCCCGCTGCGGGCGTGCTCCAAGGCTTTGCTCCCCCTCCCTGCAGACCAGGGAGACCGGGAGCAAAGCCGCGGAGCACGCCCGCAGTGAGACAGCCCGGGTGCGCCTGGGCAGTCCCGCTGCGGGCGTGCTCCAAGGCTTTGCTCCCCCTCCCTGCAGACCAGGGAGACCGGGAGCAAAGCCGCGGAGCACGCCCGCAGCGGGACGGCCCGGGCGCACCTAGGCTGTCCCGCCGCGGGCG